TAGAACCTGAGGTGATGGCTGCTGAGAGGAGGTCAGCAGGTTGAAGTCTGGCAGGTTTAGTCACTGTGAAGCCCATCATACTTCCTGACACGAGGTAAAATATCTTATGCACCTAGTTACGGCGAGAGTTCCAAGTATTAAGGAACCAGATTTACCTGAAACCTCCACAGTCCTCCGATGTCATCAGTCCCTTCAAAGCAGACGGGCTCCAAGCCTTCTTCCAGGCAGCACTTGATAGACGTGAGCCCACTCACTCCTCCCCCAATCACAGCAATTCTTTTCTTGGTCATGGTCTCCAGAGATCGTCACCGGGCTGAGTCAGTGTAACCTGTCCTAAAGAAAGGATGACAAAAGACAGAAAGCACACATCAGTTAATACCTTTCAAAGAAGAGCTTGAACGCTGCATTTAGGTAAATTCTGCAACAGCAGGTGCCTTTGGGGAACCCAGATTCCAGTGTCCTCGTGGACCACCGGGAACTACTACACCTTGGATGGGTGAGCCCTGTGCCTGGAAGACCCAGAGCTGAGACCCAGAGCTGAGAGCTCTGCTGCGGTACCCGACCTCGCTGCCTTTGCCCCAACACTGGCAGATCCTTCAGCTGCGATCTGGAGGGCACTGCACTTTCAGCTCTTTGCAAAGAAACGTAAAGCAACAAAGTACAAACAGCAGCAATAGCCAATGTGGAGGGGCTGTTCAGCTCCACCTCCTTTCAGCCAACACACCGCCCACTCAGCAGCACCCATTACCCCCACAGAGGGGAGAAAACGTGGGCCAAACCTGCTCTGGGCAGAAAAAATTAACCCTATGACCTCTCTGTTTTTCACCTGCAGTTGCCCGCACTCTCAGCTACTCTCAGGGGAGACCCTAGGGGTCGGAATCTCCATCACCGGCCCTTCCCATTCACTTTTAACTTCCTGGTGTTGTCTTATAGTGACAAACTCCTACTGGTGAAGGGAAACTGTCACCAACAACCCCGAAGCACGTCTTGCTCCAAAAGCTTCAGCGGAGAACAGCTCTTTCAGGAGACCTGTCAGAACACATCCCGGCCCCTCGTCCACCTCTCCAAGCCAACCCCCAACCCCACAAATCGGATCTTTGGTTCTGTGCTATGGGAAGAAATTTACTTTAAAATACCCATGCACTGAGCTGGGTGCTGGGGTACAGTGGGGAATGAGGGGATTAAGTTTCCTACTTAGAGGAGCTTGTAGGTTAGTAGAGAAGACGGATACACAAACAGATAATTTCAAAAAAATTAAAATACTGTAAAAAAGAACTTTCCTCACACAGCTATCTGTGTGATTACAAACACACAGCTACCCATGTGATTACACTTTTAAAATGTAACAAATTTTTCAAATTATTCGGAAAAGACCAATGTAATGGATATAGGATTTCATACACTGGGTCAGAATCAGGGCTTATTCAACCCAAGAGTCTATTTTGACAGGTGTAAGGGGTTCTGGGAGAGCTGGGTTGTGACAGATGCCATGCATCTTTGTGCACCTTACACTACTCCCTGAGTTAACCTTGCTGAAGATGATTTGATGCCAATAATTCCAGCCCAGGGTTTTGACTTACTAACATCACCCCAAAAGTATCCTTCCCAGTCCAATCATTATTTCTCAAGGGTTTACCTTATATGGTACAAAAGATACAATGGGAATGGACACGTGTAATCCTCTCAGCAACCCCAAGAAGAACGTACTATCAACTACTTTTGCAAGTAAGTGGAAAGGCAGGGAGGTACACCTGGCAGTCTGGCTTCAATCACTATATATACTGCCCCTTTATGAGGATATTTTTACGTCTTTTTTAGCCACAAGTCCTTTGTCCATTTCTCAGCTCTCTATTGCATCCCCTTTCTTTGCCTAACTCCTGCCTTTACAGTTTACACTTTAGTTGAACTGCTTTTAGCTGTTGCCTTATTTCAACTACTTTAAAATATGTTTAAAAATAGATCTTTGGTTTGGGAAATCATTTGGCTTCATCAGGAAGTCTCCTGTTCAAAATATGGTCTGAATTATATGAACACACACACACACACACGTAAACACACACACAGTGGGGAATACATGACATCAACATAGCCTAATGGGAGAATAAAGGGAAAGAAGCTTAAGGATGGAGTTATATATATTTCTCAGTAATTAAAGTGTTTTTGTGTTTTGATGTGGTTTTGTCCTTTTGATATTGTTCTTATTATCAAAATGTCATTAATCTCTCAATAGTCATCTTAAGACAAGCTAATCAAAAAGTTCGTATTTTTCTTTAAAAAAAAAAAGCTACTATTTACTTTTGTTCTGGATTCTCTTCTCACTTTGCTCCAGAAATCTCTTATTTAACTAGTGTCCTCACCGTCAAATACCATGAAACAGAATGTCTTTTGTCACCAAATACATTTTCTTCTGTCTAATGCTACTTTCTCTTAGAAAGAAAAAGCAGGTTTTTTTTTTCCAGTTGCCTAAATGCATCTCCCTTCAGATTTCAAAAATATTAACCTCTTGTCTTATCTCTCCCCAAGATTTATGGCAGCAGAAGGGCCACTGAATACTAAAGAACAAGAAGTTCTCATACAATCATCCTGTTTCTATTAGACCATGGTTTATTGGGTGTTGGAGAAGTTAGTGACTTCCTTTGAGTTAATGTGTTGCTGGACCACAAAAAGCCAATCTGAGTCTGAGAGAGATGATTGCAAGTCACCCAGAGATCCCAGGATTTGAGCTGGATGCAGCACCTGGATGGAATTTGGAGTTGTCTCCCTTGGGGTGGGGATGAGCATAACAGGAGAAGGATGATCACAGAATTCTAGTGGCTAGAGGGGTGTCAGACAATGCTAATGCTTCATTAAAATCTGTTTTCCTCCTATTACAGCATTATAGGACTGTAGCTGGGATGGGGCTGCCCAAATAGCAACAGTATTTCCCACTTTCCCTTGCAGCTGCACGTGGCCATATGACTAAGTTCTCACTAAGTTCTGTCTAACCTATTTAAAAGGTCATGGTTTTTCCTGGACTTCTGCCCACTCTTCTTTCCTGTAGCCTAGAATAATGATAACCAGAGAGATGTTTGGGAACTATGTATTGAAGTAGGTCCACTATCAGATTGGGGTCCTAAATGACTGGATATTCTAATCTGGATCTATTAATCTTGGACTCTTACATGAGAGATAAGTAAATTGCTATTTTGTTTATGCTATCGAATTTTTAATTTTGCTTTTTACAGCAGTTAAGACAACCCTAATTAATATTAGTATCAATATTCTTTGGACCTGTAATTTTTAGACTGATAACTTTCATAAAAGTTTTCAGTAATAAATGTGAATGTATACTATAATAGTACTTTTAAAAATAAAATTCTGCAAAGAGTGTTTTAATGCAACCATTTTACATATTGGAAGTTTAACTTATAAATGAATTACTTGTAAACTGGATAATTCTGAATGTACTAGAGATGCCTAGTTATAGGAAAATTGTTGAATACTTTTATAAACTGAATATTAATGTCTACCTACTGAATCGGTTTTAGAATTTCAGAACAATACAAGAATTACTTTTAAAACTTAGTATTTTTAAATGTAATTTTAATGCTCTACTACTTTCTTTTTTAATAAACTTATTTATTTTATTTATTTATTTTTGGCTGTGTTGGGTGTTTGTTGCTGTGCGTGGGCTTTCTCTAGCTGCCATGAGTTAGGGCTACTCTTTGTTGCGGTGCGCAGGGTTCTCATTGTGGTGGCTTCCCTTGTAGTGGAGCACTGGCTCTAGGCACGTGGGCTTCAGTAGTTGCAGCACGTGGGCTCAGTAGATGTGGCTTGCGGGCTCTAGAGCACAGGCTCAGTGGTTATAGCACACAGGGCTTAGTTGCTCCGCGGTCTGTGGGATCTTCCGAGACCAGGAATCGAAACTGTGTCCCCTGTATTGGCAGGCGGATTCTCATCCACTGCCACCAGGGAAGCCCCGCTCCACTACTTTAATTGTGTTTTGTAATTAATTACTTTTAAATTTGGCAAATATGTTTTATGTTGTTTTAAAATTACTTGTAAAATGTTTTAAACCTTGAGTCAAATTTTCTCTCTGTTTAGGCTAACTGCAAATTTGCAAGTGAATATATACAGGTTCAACTTTGACTAAAGTTTTTCTATAGACAAAAGGCAGGCAGAGGACATGGAGGGTGGGGGAGAGGACCATAGGGTTCTGCTCCATTTCACCTTTGCTTCCTGTGCATCCAGTGCTGCATGCCATGCTCTAACACACAAACACAAGTAATGGAAGAGCCTGCCCTTCGTGATTTTCAAAGATGATTGGAAATACAGAATATAAACCCATTAAAAAGATTTAGAGATACTTAAAAATACCATAAAAAACAAGAGGAAAATCTCCAATGAAGAAATGACTGGGTTCTAAAAAGTTAATCAATTTTAACAATTGTTGAAAATCAGAATACATTTTCCCATAGAAACAATGTCATTTTCCATGGCTAAGGCACTGGAAATGTTGTAAAAACCAATTGAAGCACAAAAGAAAATCAGTTAAAATTCTGGATAAGTAGGAATGGAAGTTTTGTGGTAATGGCTCATTCACATAAAGAACAACACTCATATCTGATGAGTCTCTGGGGGCTCTTGTCCTCCCATTCACCCCTCAGGCACAGGGTCCTTCTTGTGGCCTGCACATCAGAGACGGTTGAGACTTGTCCTAGGGTGGGGACAGTGGAGATCATGAGAAGAAGATGATTCTAGGTATGGTTCAGAGGTAGAATGACTGTAATGATGGATGTGGAGCAGAGGAGCAGATGGATGGATGTGGAGCAGAGGAGCAGATGTAATGATGGATGTGGAGCAGAGAGAGTTTTCTTGTGCACTTTCCCAGCCAATAGCCACCTCCAGAGGTAAGCATTGTTTCCTTTTGTTTTTTATTACTGAGGTATAAATGACTTGTAACATATTAGTTTCAAGTGTACAATACTTGTACATCTGCATATGATATTTGTATATTGTGAAATGATAAACAAAATAAGTGTAGTTAACATCTGATGCTTTGATTAGTTCTCAAACTTCATATAAATAGAATTATATAGTATGTACTCACTCTCTGTGCTTGGAATCGTTACACAATGTAGTGACTTTAAGATTTATCCAGGGTAAAGAAGATATGGCACATATATACAATGGAATATTACTCAGCCATAAAAAGAAACGAAATTGAGCTATTTGTAATGAGGTGGATAGATCTAGAGTCTGTCATACAGAGTGAAGTAAGTCAGAAAGAGAAGGACAAATACCGTATGCTAACACATATATATGGAATTTAAGAAAAAAAAATGTTATGAAGA